TGATCCAGGGAGGGGAGGGCATCGGTGGATGACAAGCACCACCGACCTCAGTCTTATCCGAGGACTGCCGGTCTCAGCAAAGCGGAAGGGGAGAGGAGGACGTGAGGTGTGAGGCCGGGAAGCCGTAAGGGAACGTGAGGCTTGAGGTTAGGCCTGGAGGGGTTGCAGCTGTGAGAGGGACCCTGGCCCAGGAAGTGAGTGGCCAAGTGAGGAGAAAGGACTGCTGAAGGGGAGGACGTCCTGAGGGTTGGAGAATCATCTCTGTGGATTTTGAACTCACTAGGCGCTATGGCAGGAGCGGTGAGGGAAAGTGTTGGAATCAGGAGTGAAACATGTAGGAAGCGAGACAAGGCCCCCAGGCGCAGAGACAACTCAGCAAGGTAAGGTGTGATGGTACGAGGCTGAAGGCTGGGACTCTGTGGCAGAGAAGAGACTGGTCTGGAAGTCCCAAAGAGGAAGCACACGGATGCTCTCCTGCCCCCAGGTGCAGTGGTCCAGGACCCGTGAACAGCAGCACCGACAGGAACTACCCGGACAGGGATGGGAGTAGAGTCTGCGCCTTCCCGGGCTGGAGAGAGATGACTTCCCAGATGTGGAGAGGTGTCAACGCCCAGATTTTGGAGAAAGATACTAACAACACCCAGACCAGGGGCAGGATGCCGTCACTAGGCCTGAGTTGCGGTTGGGGGAGGTGCTCTCCCCGCCCACTGTTCAGGCAGCTGAGGGAGGGTGTGCCAACTCCCCGGCCTGGAAGGCTAGAAGACACCCCCTTGGCCACAGAGGATGACTACCCCAGAAGCTCAAAGCTCAGCATCAGCGAGCTGTGCTCCTGGCCTGGGTATTTGATTCCCTCTTTTCCCTTTGATTCTCTGGGTATTTGATTCACTATCTTGCACCCTGGGTCCCATCAGCCCTCGCCTTCATCACTTGCTGGATTCCAGCAAACACTGATGAAGGACTCAGCCCCCAGCTCCAACCTTGCAGGAGAGAACCTACAGCAGGTCTAGCCCGGTCACTTGACAGCTCTGGCCCCAGCTGCGTGGGTCGATGGGCTGCTGTCTCCTGGCAGGAGAGGCGGGAGCAGACTCTAAGGAGCGTGTGTGGGGGGCCTGGAGCAGGTGCTGACGTTCTGGAATCTGTGTGCCAGGGGAGCGTGAGGGCTGGGCTGTGATGTTGTTGCCCCCACCATGTCAGAGGTTGGGAGCGGGGTGTGCACAGACAGCACTTCCCAAGCCCTCAAAGGACATCGGTTGGATGCTGTCCTGTGGAATGCTGTTCCGGTGGCCAGATGTGAGACCCCCACCCCCACAAGGCTGGAGCCCCACATCTAGCCTAGAAGATGCCTCTTCTTTCCTCACAAACTTCCCCACTGACTTTCCGGCTTTGTCTCCCCCATGGCCATCAGTGGGCCCTGCAGATGTCCCCTGGACCATCAGCCATCTGGGGCTTGGCCCACGCGGCCTGGATCTGGGAAGACAGGTAGGTCTTTGATGGCTCCCAAGAAGCGTCTCCTTGGATGGAAAGCCAGGGTTCTAAGCCACCGAGCCCTTGTAAATGCTAGAGAAAATAAGGAAAAAGGACAGGGAAGAAGGGGTGGGTGGGAGGAAAAGGCCACTCTCCCTGGGTCCAGGGGTTGGTCCGTCCCAGCTCTCCCAGTTACGACTGCTATGCAACAAATGACCCTGAGACGTCGTAGTAAACACCGGTCCTCCTCTGAATCAACAGCTAGAACAGAACACTCAGGGGCAGCCGGGAAGATGTGGGAAGTGGCAATAGCAGCTTCAGGTCACGGTCATTCAGAGGTGCTTCCCTCACAAGTCTGGCAGCTGAGCCTCCTGGGCTGCTGGCTACCACATCTTCACAAGGCCTCTGCACGGGGCCGCTCCTTGTGGCCTGTCTGTGTGGCCAGCTTGGGCTTCCTTACAGAGACAGTCTGAGGGACGAGGGCCCAGAGGGACACGACCACGCAGACAGTGGGGGTGTGGCCCTTGGAAAAGACACAGTGGGGGTGTTGGTGATGACAATATTGGGAAAGCTCACCTTGCTCCGGCCCTAGAGGGTTCCTTGCTGGGACCGAGGTTGGGAAGGTCAAGACACAGGCCCCCCCGAGACCCTGGGTGGGAATTATCCTTCCCTTCCTGGCAGGCCTCTGAGAATGAGCCTCCGGGGTGCTCAAAGTGTGGTGAGCACTCTGGGGCATGTGATGAAGCTGAGTATAGGTATCTCCTCCCTGCCTCGGTCTCCCCTCTGTTCAGTTCTCTCCCACCTGCTTCCCTGAGGCAGTAACAAGGTAGCTGACATGTACTCAGTTCTCTCCGTGCTGGGTACCTTCAAGCAGGGTCTCATGTATCTTCCCATGTTCTGGGATCGATCTATCTATCTATCTATCTATCTATCCATCCATCCCTGTTCCTGGGATCAACAGATGACCCACTTTACAGGTGAGGAGGCAAGTACAGGAAGATAAGTCATCCCACCTAACAACTAGTGAGGGAAAGAACGGTCAAGAATGTGGTTCTTTAGACCCTCCTCTCAGTCTGAACTCCTGCCTCTCTGGCCTCCACGGAAGGCTGGGGGCCGCCCAGAGTCCAGCCACATTGTCCAGACCAGTGGCCACAGCTCCTCTGCGACCCCCAAGAGGAAAAGGAGTCTCCAGTGGCCACTGGGGGGCGCTCGTTGGCTTCCGTCCTCCCCAATCCTCGACCTCCCCAACAGCAAGTCCAGGTTCCAGCCAGGACTGCACAGGGGGCAGTCGGTGCTCCTTGGGCTTTTGGTGGCAGCAGTAGCCCCTCCTCAGATTCCTGCCTGACCCCGGAGCCTTTCCGACACCCCTCCACTCCCGCACCCTCCTCTAGGTGGGAGTGGGGAAAATGGGTAGCCTCATCTGGGTGCCTGGGCAGAAACGATTGTGTGATGGGGAGGATCTGAGTTGCCCCCTGCCCCGGCCCGGTGCCCCAGGCGGACAGGGGGCACCACTGGAGGGCAGGCGGGGACTTTGTTTGATACTAGACTAGAATCAGCCTCAGAAAGGAAAGAAGTCCTCTGGATGGGGGTGCAGGGTGGGACCGGAAATGGGTGGTGGGACAGAGGCCAGCAGTGGACACCCACTATGTAGACCCACAGCAGTTGAACCGACCCATCGAGGCCTGCCATTCGGCTCACTCTAGTGCTCAGAAAAGCCCCCCCAAGGCTCTCCCAGACCCCTCCCGGGTCCAGAAGCCTCCAGGTCCGTGTCTCTGCCTGCCCTTTCCCCTCCTCCCTTGGGCCCTGTGGCCCCTTTCCCATCCTGGGGATGCCATTCCCTCCCCTGGGGCCTTGCAGAGCTGCCTCCTCCCTAGAAGATCCCACTGCGGAAGACTTCCAGACACCCCATCAAAAGAAGGGTTTCCTCTCCCCCAGCAGTCCACGCATTTCTATCACTTATAACGGAATGATTATTTTCGCTTGCCGTGTCCTCCAGCAGCAGATTAGAAGCCCCAGGAGGGGCTTCCCCAGCCTGAGCGTCTGGCCAGGCCCACAGTGGGCCTCGGGAATCGTCTGTGGCATGGATACCACACTGCTGCCAGGCCACGTGGACTGGGAACCCCAAGCATCCAAAAGACTACAGCCCTGTGACATAATTCAAAATGAAAACAATATCGAACCGAAAAATAATACAGACCTGTTTCTCCCACTGTGCCACTTTGAAATAGATTTTTTAAAAAGATTTTATTTATTTATTTGACAGAGATCACAAGCAGGCAGAGAGGCAGGCAGAGAGAGAGGGGGAAGCAGGCTCCCTGCTGAGCAGAGAGCCCGATGAGGGGCTCGATCCCAGGACCCTGAGATCATGACCTGAGCCGAAGGCAGAGCCTTTAACCCACTGAGCCACCCAGGCGCCCCTGAGACAGATTTTAAACAATTGCTCCTGGCACCTGGGTGGCTCAGCCCTTAAGTGTCTGCCTTTTGCTCAGCTTGTGATCCTGGGGTCCTGGGATCCAGCCCTGCATCAGGCTCCCTGCTCCTCCCTCTCCCACTCCCCCTGCTTGTGTTCCCTCTCTCTGTGTGTCTCTGACAAATAAATAAATAAAATCTTAAAAACAAAACAAAACAATTGCTCATTTTTTGTGAGCCCTACTTTGCTGGTGCTTAGCCCAATGTTGTGCAATATAGAAGAGTGTGATGTCACCAGCCCCATGACATCCCCTCCTCTGGCTTGAATCATCACCAGCCTTGACCCTGAGATATCACCTCTGATTATCTGGTGACAGTGCCAGCCCGGCCAGTGACATCCCTCCATTCTGTAGTGTTACACCTTTCTGCCTGACTGGTGACGTCACTCTCCCTGTCGTGCAGTATCACCCTCTTCGTTCTATGCCATAATTTAATTGTCCCGTGACGCTGCCCTGCCTGCCGCCAGGCTCCAGCCAGCTGACCTCTTTCGGCCGAGAGGCTGGTGTTCCACGTTCACTGTGGTGCAGGCCCGGAGTAGGTGTGGGGCGGAGGGGCGGGTCCTGGGAGGCCGAGCACGCGGCAGGACCGAGGCTGTGCAGAGACCCTCGACCCCGGGCGGGGACCCGGAACGGCGGAGCAAAACGGAAGAGGCGCGTGGGCCGAGGCTCGCCTCCTCCTCCCGGGCGCCTGACCCATTTCCCCCTCGTGACTCTACTTTCGGATTTCCCGCGCCGCGCGCCGCGGACTCTGGGCGTCATCCCCATCCCCGGCCCCTCTGGGCCTGAATGGGAGCCCCGCGCCCAGCCCCGGAGACTCGCCGCCCCGGGCAGTCGGGAGAGGCCCGGTCCCGGCGCACAGCTCCGGACGCAGCCGCAGAGGAGGGGGCCCCGCGGCTTTCCCGCTCGGAGCGGCGCGGCTGGAGGCGGGCGCGGGCAGAGCGCTCCGCGAGCCTTTGTCGCGGGCGGGGCGGGCCGGCGGGGCGCGGGGGCCTGACTGACGTGCGGCGGGTGCGGCGGCCGGGGGTGGGCGGCCCCGCGCGGGGCCCGGCGAGCGCAGCCTCTCATTGGCTGGCTAGAGTGTGGGAACGAAAGCGGAGCCGGGTTCACACACGCCGCGGCCGCGCCGCCTTAAATAGCCGAGCGGCTGGCGGCTCCGCGCGCGGGCCTGCAGCCTGGGGCCCCGTCGGGGAGAGCTGGGCTCGCCGCGCGCTCGCCCCCGGCGGCGCACTCCGCCTGGCTCCGGAGGCGCGGGGGCGCACCATGCCCGCAGACACCCCAGGGAAGCCCAGAGCCTCGCCGCTGGCAGGAGCGCCGGCCGGCGCCCACAGAACCCCGAATGAGCCCCGAAGCGCGGCGGAGCACCGGAAGGTGGGCACCTGGCGGGGCGTGGGTTGGGGGGCGTGGGTGGGGCGGACGGACGCGGGACTCAGCCACAGCCCGACCCACAGTCCTCCAAGCCGGTCATGGAGAAGCGGCGCCGCGCGCGCATCAATGAAAGCCTCGCGCAGCTCAAGAGCCTCATCCTGGACGCCTTCAGGAAGGATGTAGGTCGGGGTCGGGAGGTGAGGTCGGGGGTGGGAGGAGGTGCGGAGCTCGGAAGTCTCGGCGCACTCCTGGGGTGCGAGCCTCCCACACCTGCCGTACCGCCAGAGCTCCCGCCATTCGAAGCTGGAGAAAGCAGACATCCTGGAGATGACCGTGCGGCACCTGCGGAGCCTGCGGCGGGTGCAGGCGGCAGGTGAGGCGCGGGCAGCAGCGGCGTGGGGCGGGGCCGGGGCGGGGGGGTGACGCGGAGGCGCAGGGGACCTCCGCGGCGGGAACCGACCGCCTGTCCCCTGCCGCCCCCGCAGCCGCTCTCAGCGCTGACCCCGCCGTCCTGGGCAAGTACCGCGCCGGCTTCAATGAGTGTCTCGCGGAGGTGAACCGCTTCTTGGCCGGCTGCGACGGCGTCCCGGCCGACGTGCGTTCTCGCCTGCTTGGTCACCTGGCGGCCTGCCTGGGCCAGCTGGGTCCCTCGCGCCGCCCGGCTCCACCGTCCCCCGCTGCGGAGGCCCGGACGCCCGAGGTCTTCGCGGGTTGCCCGCCGCTCCCGGGGTTCGACCGCCCCTTCCCCTTGTTGCGTCCTGGGTCCGCCTTCGCGCTGCGGCTCCCGCCAGGCCTGACTGGGGCGCCCCGAAACGCCCCCAGGGCGGGGCTGCAGAACCGGGGCGCGCCCTGGAGGCCGTGGCTGCGGTGAGGCCTGGACCCTCACTGCTGCGGAGGCCGCACCCCGTTCTGGGGCCTCGGAGTGAGCCAGGGGTTTGTTTCCAGAGGCCGCGTCCAGAGAGTTCTCATCTGTTGTTGTCTTTGCGGAGACTCTAGTCTGCAGTTTCTTTCCTTCCTGCAGTCCCTTAGTTCTGGGTGGGGGTGGTGGGGGGTCTGCTGGTTGCTTTGTGCTGGCTTCTGCGGCGGGACTGCGGGTGGCCCTTCCAGGGGCTCTGTGCCCCGCATCGGCCCTTCCTCTAGCCCCCCGGGCTTGGCCCTGAGCCGTATGGGCCTTCGTGGAAGTGTGGGGACGTGAGAAGCGGCTCAGGGGAGTGACAGGCGGCACATTTCCCACAGCGCATCCCAGTTCTGGAAAGCAGTCCGGCCGCATCACTGGGCAAGGATTCTTGTCTTTTTAAGGTACTTCAGCCCACTCCCGCTCCTGTGGACCTTTTAAAGGTGGAGACATTGACACCCCTTGTCCTGGGCCGCTGAGCTGTGGCGAGAGGTGACCATGTCCTGAAGTTTCTGTTCTGGCTTGGTCCACTTCCTCCTTTGTTCTCAGGTTCAACATGAAGCTTCCGGGACTGAGCCTGCTCCAGGCCTTGTCAGTTCAGGAGAGGAGAGCCAGCAGGAGAGGGAGCCTGAGTCCTGAGGACAGGGAACTGGGGCAAGACTGGCCAAGAGCACTTAGTGCCAGGATCCGGTGGAGGGGAACTGTCCCACCAAAGTCCAGTCCTGCTGTGTGCCCTGGGAGGGGAGGTCTCCCCAGTGAGAAAACCTGGAGGGTGGGCCTGCCCCTGCCTCTGTTCTGAGCCCCCTCCCAGGGGCTGCCCTACAGTCCCTGGCAGTAATGGCAGGCAGCTTTGGCCATCAGCCCTAGAGTCCCTGTCCTGTGATCCCAGGTCTCCCTGAGCTGCTGCTGGGGGCTGTGCTGCAGTTGCAACGAGGGGGTGATCTGGGACAAGTGGAGACTGGAATGTCTCATCCTGAGCCCATTAGATGCGGAGCCAAGACTCACTTCCCAGCTGCAGCCGAGTTCATCAGATGGTGGCTGGCTGCTTGCCTGGCCAGGGCCCCTCAAGGAGAAGGAGGGTGAGTCCCTGCTAGAGGTTAGCTTGCTTTTCCTCTAGTGGCTTCTGTGGCTGTATCACCGGCAGGATTCACCTGGGCTCTCCTGCCCTCAGCTACGCTTACCCTGCAGGGACCTCCGAATCCCCACCAAGCCAGTCACCTCTGCCCCCTGGTTTCCTCGCCCATCTCCCTGAGTCAAGGGTCTGGATCTGTGTCCTAGATGGTGACGGCCACATGGGCCAGGTGCTGTGCCCTTGGACATGTACACAGTCAGTGATCCTGGTCCTGGGGGAGCTGCAGAGTAGTCCCTCTTTCTTCAGATTTGGGACATGAGCAGGACTGTGGGGAGGAAGAGTTGGTCACACCTGGGAAGCTCTCTTGGCCGGAGACTAGCACTGGGTCTGTTGCTGAAGCTAGAAGCTCGACCTGGTTGAGGAAGGGGAGCTGCTCAGGGCCTCAGGGCAGAAGCTGAAGGGGTGCGGGGAGCGCTTTGGGATCCGAAGCCCGGGGGGGTGGGTAGGGGGTGATTAGGGTCTGCAAAGCTGCGGCCCACACATCCTGCAGGAAAAAGAGGGACCTCCCTACCTGTGTGGCCAAAGGAAGAAGGGCTACCTGGGGAAATAACCTGGGACTTGGGCCATCAACTTTCCCTCCTCCCAAGAGAGGGCAGGGATAACGCCAGAGTAGACCCTCGCCTCCTGTTCACTCCCGGCCTCACTTCCTGTCTTTCCCACCCCCACTGCCGTGCTACATCCCACTTCCTGTTTCTGGTACTGTCTTCTCGAGGGTTTGCCAAAGGGAGCTAGGGAGTGAGGGCCCGCCGAGGACCTCTCAGGCTCTGTGGGGACCACACGCCGTCCCTCCGACCGGCAAGCCCTCCTGCCCTCTGTCCCTTTGAACTCAGCCTCCCTGCTGGAATCCCCTCCCCACTTTCCCACTGGAGGCAGCCACACCAGGCTCCGTGGGCCCCAGAGGCTAACGCCATGTCTGTGTGCCTCACTTTGTCCCCAGCACCTGCTTGGAACAGTTTGATTCCTACTGACCTGATGAACTGAATGACAGTCAGGAGGGTTGGGAAGGGTTTCTGCAGTACGGCCGACACACAGTGTTCTATTAACTTCACGTGCACAGCAGAGCGAGTGGACGGTTGCTGAATTGTTCACAGTTGTCATGCCGCTGTAAGTGGTGCTCACTGCCGTCAGAGCAGCCGCTGTCTGGCAGCAGCATTCCTGTAGCCTCGGGCCCGCATCCCTCTTCCTTCCATCTCATCTCTTCTCCTCTCTGTGGGTACTCATCACACCACTGCAGCTGTACTCCTAGTCCCCTCCGCCGTTTCTCCCATCCCCCACCCACCTTTCCTCTGAGAAACACCGGTTTGCTCTCTGTATCTAGGAGTATTTTTTCTTTCGGAGTTTATTTTTAAGTCCTCTGTACACCCAGCATGGATGGGGCCTGAACTCACAGCCCCGAGACAGAGTCCTGTGCTCCGCCAGCTGAGTCAGCCAGGCTCCCTGAGCATACTTTTTGTTTGTTCATTTGTCTTGTTTTATAGATTCTACATATAAGTGAAAACATGTGGTATTTGTCTTTTTCTGTCTGAATTATTTAACTTAGCGTAACATCTTCTAGGTTTGTCCATGTTGTTACAAATGGCAAATTCCATGCTTTTTTCTGGCTGAGAGGGTGTTATTCTTTTTTTTTTTCTTTTAAGATTTATTTGAGAGCTCGTGTGCATGGAAGGAGGGGCAGAGGGACAAGCAGCCTCCTGACTCGGGACTCTCGAGGGAGGCTGGGAGGGTTGCTCCATCCCAGGACCCTGAGATAATGAACTGAGCTGAAGTCAGATGCTTAACCACTAAACCAGCTGAGCCAGCACAGGCACCCCTGGCGGAGGGCTGTCGTTCTTGCTTCCATCGGGGATGTCTGAGGGAGCACAGCTCAGGCCGAAGCTGGCCTCCTCCCCAGGCTGCCCCTTTTCAGCTGCTGAGGGCACCAGGGTCCTTTTTTTTTTTTTTTTAAAGACTTTATTTATTTATTTGACAGACAGAGATCACAAGTAGGCAGAGAGGCAGGCAGAGAGAGAGGGGGAAGCAGGCTCCCTGCTGAACAGAGAGCCCGATGCGGGGCTCGATCCCAGGACGCTGAGCCGAAGGCAGAGGTTTAACCCACTGAGCCACCCAGGAGCCCCAACTGGGTCTTAACAGCATCCTCTGAATCTGGGTGGCTCAGTTGTTAAGTGTCTGCTTTCCACTGAGGTCATGATCCCAGGACCCTGGGACTGAGTCCTGCATCTGCTTCTCCCTCTACTGTCTACTGTTACCCTGGCTTGTGCTCTCTTGCTCTCTGTCAAATAAATAAATAAAATCTTAAAAAAAAAAAAAGAGCATCCTTGCCTCCGGCTGTGGAAGGAACCCCACCCCTCCCCACACCCAGCCTGGACACCTGCTCAGTCCAGGGAACCCCTCAAGTGCTTTGCTACAGGCCTCATGCAGGGAGTGATGGCCTAAAACGTGGAGTAATCCCCCTCACACCAGGGGTTCTCCTTCCTACCCTCCCCACCCTTCCCTCCATTTCCTGCCCCACCCCCCTCCTTCTGGGCCCTGAGATGGGGCCCCCAGATGGACTCCCGGTTATTTCCCTGTCCCTGACCTCCTCACCACCCACCCAGCTATCTTTATCTTGGCTTTTGTCTTGCAGACACTTCCTGATGAAGCACCTTCTCCTGTCACAGCTGTGTGGCAGGGGTGGGGGAGGAATCAGGACCTCCTTCTGGGGAGTAGGAGGCTGGAGGCCTGCTGACCATTTCCCTCTGCCGGCAGGTGGAGTCTCATTCAGTGTCTGGGGTCTCCCTCCAGCCCAGTTCCTGGCAAAAACCAAGAGCCAATAAATGTTTGCTAAATTCATGCACACGGTCAGCAGAACTCTCTGCCTCTCTGGGTGTGGGATCCCTGCATGTCTGGGTCCCATCTGCCTGTGGAGCCAGGGCTTGGGGACTGAACAATGACGGCATATCATGGCTGTTAGAAATTTGGAGAAAGAATGGGTCCCTATGGTGACAGAAGTTGGCCCAGGAAACTGCGGTCAGTCGGAAATTCGGACTTGGGGAGGGGCTGGGCTATTTGGAGCCCTGGTTTGTGAGGGGTGAGGCCTGCGCTCCCACACCAAAGCTCCAGCAGTCCCCTGATTATCTCCAGGCCTCAGCAGCCTCCTCCCATTACCTGGCAAGCTTTCCAGAGCAGGAGGCTGACCCCAAAGGGTCCCACAGCCGTGCTGGTGCCCTGTCTGCTCCCTGGAGCCCTGGGGACTAGATCCCCCTGGGATGTACCGTGGTCAAGGAGACAGGTCCTGGGGCCGACAGCCTAGAAGGCCACCGAGGATCCCCTCCCGGCCTGCAGCCTTGTCAGTGTGCTGAGGTTGGTTCACACGACTGTGGCAGAAGGGAGGAGATGTCTGTAATATTCGTTTGCAAGTACATCTTGCTGTGTCTCTGTTGCATCACGACTTTGGGGGAGGTCAGCTGTCCTGTACTCTGGAGAGGCCCGAAGAGTGTGGACCTGAGGGAGAGTGAGTTTAGAAGCAGGTTCTCCAAGTCCTTGAGCCTTCGGATGAGGTCCCAGCACTGCCACCATCTTGACAGCAGCTTCAGGAGAGGTCCTGAACCAGAGCCACCCAGCTGAGCCGCTCCTGGGTTTCTCTCTCAGAAACTGTGAGATAATCAACATTTGTCATTTGAAGCTGCTAAACTCTAGGTTAATTTGTTACATCGCAATAAATAACAGTAAGTTGTAAAGTAACAGTGTGAGTTGTAAAACTTAAGTAACAATAGCAATAAACAACTAATGTACCCTAACCCAGCAGTCACCCCCATCTGCCTTCCTGGCCGTGGGATTGTGGAAGAGGTGGGGTGGGGTGGGGATGAGGATGGGACTCGTGGTGGGAGGAGCCCCAGAAATAGTCCCTGCAACTGTCGTCATAAGCAGAGAGTGGGTTGGCCTGACTTTGACCTGGAAGCAGTTTCCTAGCCCCCACAGATGGGAGCAGAGACAGGCCCAGGTCCCTGCCGTGGTGCTGACCAGCCACAGTCCAGGTCCCCCCCCCCCCCGGGACTCCAGGCAGGGCTGGGGGTCATTTCTGGGTCAGGAACCGATGGGGCACCCTGGGTCAGAGCACGGGATTGGGGAGTCACAGGCTCCGGGTTTGCAACAAGGACAGGTGAGAGATGTCTCCTGCTGAGAGCTGTGGTACCCCACCCTGGGTGGGCCTGGCCTCAGCTGACCTGTCAGACTCCCCAGGCCACACTGCCCTGTCCCCAGTGGGGAGCATCAACCCTGTCTGCAGCCTGGTAACCATGCTGACCAAAAGTACCCATCTGCTCCTGCTTCAAGTGTCTCCTCCATGTACCACACCTGACCCCGACGCCCACCGGTAGCTTCAGGCCTCCCTCCTGGGCCTCCACGGTGAGTGGGGAGTCCCACATCTGTGTGGGGAGAAGGGAGCTCAGCAGCGACTAGAAGGTCAGTGTTGGAAGGCAGAGGCCCTGTGCTTGGCCCTCACCAACCCCTAACCTCACTGTAAGCAGAGTGTGCGCATCTGAGCCAGCAGGAACATCCCGCCCCCACTTCCTTGCCCACATAGTGGGTGCAAGGGAGGGAAACCTTCCTGCACCTGTTTGGCCTAACCAGAGGCTGGTGGAGAGGAGGGCTTCCCAGCTCTAGCCCTCCCCTCACTTAGGGTGTCCCCAGCACCCCTTGCCCTGTTCAGCACAGTGAGGGAGAAGTCAGAGGCCCTGGGGGTGGGGAGGCGGCACTGTCTCACCTCCCAGCTTGGGAGCAGACCCCTGGCTGCAGCAAACACTCATACCCAGAGGCCTGGGGGCTGACTGGGCTCCTGACCTCCCCTCTCATTGTTCTTCGAGGCCCCACAGGACCTCAGCTCTCCTGCCAGCCCAGGGTCAGGAAAGTGTTCTGTAAGCCATAGCCGAGCTCCTTTCCCTATGTTTAGAGACTGGCTGTGAACGACATGGCGCATGGAACCGGCTGTCATCCGCTGGTATGAGCAAGCCACTTTCTTTTCTGGTCAGCTTCAGGAAAAGAGAAAAGAGCTCCACGAATGTGTCTCTAGGGATTTGGTTTGCAAAACTAAGAGGGAAGGGTCACTGCCCAGAATCTGAGCTGACCAGTTTGCTCACTTAGAGCTAGCAATGTTTGGTCCAAGTTTTCCTGAGCAGAGAGCAGGTGCTCTAGCTGGACAGACCTCCCCCCCATGCATATGTTGAAACCTACCCCCAAGGTGATGGCTTTAGGACATGGGGCCTTTTGGGGTGATCAGGTCACAAGAGTAGTGACCTCCATGATGGGATGGGATTGGTGTCCTTATAAGAGAGACACAGGCATGTCAAGACAGGGAGAGGGTGGCGGTCCACAAGCTGGAGGGGGGCCCTCACCTAAATCAGTCCCTGTTGGCACCCTGATCTCGGACTTCCAGCCTCCAGAACTGTGAGGAGTATGTTTCTGGTGTGGGTAAGCTACCCAGTCTGTGGGATTTTGTTATAGTGATCCCAAAGGACACCAGAGCTGCTTTTTACCCAGGAGGTTGGTGGCAGGACGCTGTTGTTGACTTTCCAGAAGTCACAGGGGCAAACGCCTCCCCGGATGGACATGCAGGGACTGTCCCTGGCATAAAGGCACAGACAGCTGGGAGGATGGAGTCTGAGGGTCAGTGGGCTTCCTCAGATGACCCCCACCCCCGTCCCGTGAGCCTCAGCCTCAATTTGGCCTCTCACCCAAATGCAGCAAGGCAGCTCCTTCCTGGGTGGGGAGACCTACACGCGCAGTACGAAGCCCAGAATGCTGGGGAATGTCTAGGTCACCCCAGCCTGGAACTTGGGAGGGTTGTGTGGAGTGAATGAGGTAGTGCTGGAATGTTCCAGGCCCCAAGAAGCACTTAGAGCTGGCGGCCATAACAGGGCCCGTGGCTGCGACTGCGAGTGCGTGTGGGACCAGGCTGTGGGTTTGGTGGCCGCCATCCTCTGGAGTCTGGGGCACGCAGTCCCCTTGGGCTTGCCATGTGGCGTTGGTGGAAGATTGGAGAAGGGAATGGGGAGGGAAGCAGTTACCAGCTGCTCCCAGAGCAGCACCTGCCTCTGGGCTTCCCAGAATCGTCCCACCTGGAAACCAGCTCCACCTGGGACCGTAATCGAAGAGGACAAACTTGCAGAGCGGGAGACACACAGTCCCGTGGTCAGAGATGGAGACTGAGTTGGCACAGATAGAGAACCCCTCAGAGACAGCCAGAGCCTTTCCCACCAAGACAGACAGACTCGGGCCTTCTCGCTTCTCGTGCATGTCTCTGAACTTCCTTCAGTCTGCTCTGAGTTTGGGAAGGCCGCAGATGTGTCCCTGCACCAGAGTCTCCGCGCAGAGCTCCTGTGTTTGCTCTCCCTCGAGGTCTTGTCAGCACAGGAGTGGTTCAGGGAAGGCTTCTAGCACAGACTGGGATTGAATTTTATTTCTGCTGTCACTCAGTGACCTTGGGCAAGTCACGAAATCTTAAATGTGGAATAGGATTTGTAATACTACTTATCTCCAGTGCTCTGTGGTTGAAGGAGTTAAATAAAATAATCTGCAGAGTGAGTTGCTTCTACCACAGAGAAGTAGCAAGGACCAGATTTACCCTCCTGCCTAAAACAACTAAACAACTGAACAAAATATATGAAATAGCAGACCTGAAAGACAGTGGTCCCTGAGAAGCGGGAAACCAATGACCGGAGCCCTCGTTGCCCCAAGGCTGCTAGAAGCCGGTGTTCAGGCCTTGACTGCTGGCAGTAGGAAGCCAGACAGCTGAGCAGACTTCTGTGGGTGGGGGTGGGGAGCCAGGGCAGCTAGGGTCAGCAAGAAAAGAGATGCCAGAGAGAGAACTACAGAGCGTTGTAGAGGGTCTCCCTCAAGGTTGATTAGAACATGCTGGGAGAAACTCCTTGAGGCCAGGAAAAGAACCACCTGAAAAGATTAGAGAGAAAAATCCTATGAGTTCACCCAGGGTCACCTCCAGACAGACTGGAAAAGCCCATAATTCAGAGGGCACGTGGTAGAGTGTTCAGTGGGACCTTATCCCAGCGGTGAGGGATAATTAGCCTCACACTGAGTGCTGGTGTTGCCCGACCAAGTTTATGAGCAGGTCCCCAAAGGACCAAACTGCGTCCGAGTAACTCAACTGTGCCCCAGAACAAGGCCCAAAAATATTTACAGGAAACACAGAAACATCCAGCACCCAACACGTTAAAATTCATGTTGTCTGGCGGCCAGCAAAAATGACCAGGAATACAAAGAAGCAGGAAAATATGACTCATAATAGGAGAAAAATCAATCAAAGGAACCCTAGAAATGTCACAGGTAATAGGATTAGTAGACAAGGACATTAAAACGGTTGTGAAAGTCACACTTCATGTGTTCAAGAAGCTAAAATACTGCAAACATAACAATAAAAACCATTCAAATTGAAACAGATTTTAAAACTGGAAAGGAAGGAAAGACAAGAAGAGAGCATTAGGTAGGCGTGGGACAACCTGAAGTGGGGTAGTGTGTGTAATTGGAGTCCCAGAAGGAGGGGAACGAGTTAGAAAACACTGAAAGAAATAATGACTGGAATTTTTCCAATCCTGATGCAAACTATAAGCCCAGGGATCTGAGAAGCTCAATGCAACTCAAGCATAAGAAGTTTGAAGAAAACTACATCAAGGAGTCACATAATCAAATTGCGACCATACAGGGTTAAAACAATGGTGTCTGCCCATCACACTTCTATCCAGCACTGTAGCGAGTTCTAGCTAGGCCAATTAGGCAAGGAAACGAAATAAAAGGCACCCAGATTGGAAAGGAAGAAGTAAAACTGTCTATGTTCAAATGATATGACCTTACATATTAAAAAAAAAAAATCAAAAGAAATCTACTAAGAAAACTTTTGAAACTAATAAATGGGTTAAGTAAGGATTCAGGGTACAAGATTGATATTTTAAAAATCAGTGGTATTTCTACACACTGGCAGTAATTCGAGAATGAAATTAAAGGGTGAGGGGATGTGGTAACTGGGTGTTAGATATTAAAGAGGGCACAGGGTGGAATGAGCACTGGGTGTTATATAGGACCGCTGGATCACTGACCTCTACCTCTGAAACTAATAATACACTATATGTTGATTAATAGAATGTACATAAAAAAATAAAGTGTTGCCTTTTAAAAATGCTCATTGAGGGACTCCTGAGTGGCTCAGTTGGTCAAGTGTCTGCCTTCAGCTCGGGGCATGATCCCAGGATCCTAGGATGAGTCCCACATCGGGCTCCTTGCTCAGTAGGGAGCCTGCTTCTCCCTCTGTCTGCCATCTTCCCTGCCTGTGTGCTCTCTTTGACAAATAAATAAAATCTTTTTAAAAAGTGTTCATTGCAAGAAAAAAAAATGAAATCAAGAAACCAAATCCATTTACAATAACATCAAAAAGAATAAAATACTTAGGAATATATTTAATAAAAGAAGTGCAAAACTCACACTTTGAAATCAACACAGCATTACTGAAAGAGATTAAAGAAGTTCTAAATAAATGAAAAGATATCCCATGTTCCTGGATCAGAAGATGAAATGTCATTAAGATGTTAATACTCCCCAAATTGACCTTTAGGTTCAATGCAATATCTACCATAATTCCAGCTAAGATTTTTGCAGAAACTGACAAGCTGCCTTTAAAATTCATATGGAAATTCAAGCAACTCAGAAAAGCCAAAATACTCTTGAAAAAGAAGAGCAATTGGGGCACCTGGGTGGCTCAGTGGGTTAAGCCTCTGCCTTCGGTGGGGGTCATGATCTCGGGTCCTGGGATGAAGTCCCACATCAGGCTCCCTGCTGAGTGGGGAGCCTGCTTCCCCCTCTCCCTCTGCTGCTTCCCCTGCTTGTGCTCTCTCTCCTCTCACTGTCTGTCAAATAAATAAATTCTCAAAAAAAAAAAAAAAAGAGCAAAGCTAGAGGACTAAACTTCCTGATTTCAAAATTCATTGCAGAGCTACAGTAATCAAGACAGTGTGGTACTAGTCTCAGGTTGAGGTTAGACATAGTGATTGGTAGAATAGAACTGACAGTTCAAAAATAGGCCCTCGTATTTACAGTTAATTGATTTTCAACGAAATGCCAGGACAGTCCAATGGGGAAAGAACAGTCATTTCAACAGATGTTGCTGGGACATCTGATCACCCACATCTTCCCTCACTACATACACAAAAGTTAACTCAAGATAGATGCAGATAAATGGAAGAGCTAACACTTTTATAAAATTTTTAGAAGAAATTGATCTTGGGTGATGAAGGCAAAGCCTTTTCAGATATGATCCTAAAAGCGTAAGTGACAAAAGAAAAAACAAGTAAACTGAATTTCATAAAAATTTTAATATGCCTCAAAGTACATTATCCACAAAAAGTGAAAGACATAGGAGAAAAACATTGCATAACATATATATACTATAGAAATACATATTGATAAGTGTTCTCTCTATATAATACATTATATATTACTATATATATAATATATATAACATAAATAACTCTCAACTCAATAATCCAACTAAAAAAAATGGGTGAAAAATCAGAAGAGACATTTCTCCAAAGATATATAGATGGCCAATAAGCACCTGAAAAGAAACTCAACATCATTGGTCATCATGGAAATTTATTTTATTTTTTAAGATTTCATTTATTTATTTGACAGAGAAAGAGAGATCACAAGTAGGCAGAGAGGCAGGCAGGCCAGGTGGGGGGAAGCAGGCTCCCTGCCAAGCAGAGAGCCCAATGCCGGGGCTCGATCCCAGGACCCCGGGATCATGACCTGAGCCGAAGGCAAAGGCTTTAACCCACTGAGCCACCCAGGTGCCCCTGTCATCATGGAAATTTAAATCAAAACCACAATGAGGGGTGCCTGGGTGGCTCAGTTGGTTGAGCGTCTGACTCCTGGTTCCCCCTCAGGTCATGATCTCAGTGAGATAAAGCCCTGCATCGGGATCTGTGCTGGGCGTGGAGCCTGTGGGGTTCTCTCTCTCCCTCTTCCCCTCTCCCCACTTGTGCTCTCTCTCTCTCTAAAATATAAATAAAATCTTCATTAAAAAATGAACTATTGGGGGCGCCTGGGTGGCTCAGTGGGTTGGGCCTCTGCCTTCGGCTCTGGTCGTGATCCCAGGATCCTGGGATCGAGCCCCGCATCGGGCTCTCTGCTCAGCAGGGAGCCTACTTCCTCCTCTCTCTCTGCCTGCCTCTCTGCCTGCTTGTGATCTCTCTCTCTCTGTGTCAAATAAACAAATAAAATCTTAAAAAAAAAAAAAAAGAACTATCGGTATATACAATATAATAGATGAATCTCAAATTATGCCGTGCGACAGAACTCAGACATACTGTACTCTTTTGCTAATGAGTACATCCTTTATAACCCCATTTACATAAAGTTCTAGACCTCGTCACCCAGCTGTAGTGACCGAAGGCAAACTGATGGCCGGCTTGGGAGTGGGGGAAGGAGGCGTCACTAAGGGCACAGGCCCCTGCAGACGGTCATGCTCACTGTCTGCATTGTGATGGTGGCTTCCTGGGCATCGCAAATGTCCAAATTTAGCAAATTTCACATTCAAATATGTGCACTTTATTGTATGTAAATTATACCTCAATAAAATTTTTTTTAAGTTAAAAGCCCGTAATCTGTGTAAAACATACTGCTTGGCATATTAGAGCTACTCATTACAAGTTGGCTCTTATTCTCTGATATTCGAGTGCTTAATGCGGCAAGGTCAAGGCTCAAAGGGGCCTCCAGGGCTTCAGGAAAGCGGGCCCAGCATCCCCGAAGGATCCATCCCCCAGACCACGGCAAGGAGGGCTGAGCTCTGCTTTCTGTGGAGTCCTGGTGCCCTCCGGTGGCCCCCACGGGTACAGCAGGCCGCCTTCTCTGTTAACTCCCTCTCCCAGCGCACCTCTTCCTGCTTGGGCCTCTGCTCTCCGCTGGTAGGATGCGCGTGCCCATCTGTGCAGCCACTTGTTCCCCTGGCCCAGGTCCCCACCAAGACTTAACAACCACTGGGGAACATCCTCGGACCCTGATTTCCTCATCTTACAGCAGACATCCATCCCTCTGCTGCCCCCAGCAAGGCGTCCTCCGTGACTGGGTGGGGGAGGAGGAAGAGGAGCCTCTGGGTGGAGCTCAGTCCTCGGTGTCCTGAGGTAAGACCCTTCCCTCCCTCACCCCAGCCCACCTGATCCGTCCCCACAGCCTCAGAGCTGGCCTTCCTGCCTCCCTTCAAGCTCTGTGTCCTCTTCTCCCTGGGCAGTCTGGGCAACTGTTGGAAAGCCCTTGCCCCGGGCCTGGCGAATGTCTCCCCTTGCAGGGCTCCAGCCCCAGGTGGGGCTGTGCTGCTGAGCCACAGTCTGGAGACAGACAGGCCCACATATGTGTGCCACCAAGCCTGACGTGGCACTGGGCCCACTAGGTGTCCACATGCAAACAAGAAAGGATGACAGGACCCCATCACCCACCTCCCACAAAGTCGACACCAGGGGGGTTGCAGATCCAATGTGAAAAGTAAAAAAACACAGCTTTCAACAAATATGCAAGGATATCTTCATGAAATCTTTATGACTTTGGGCCAGGCAAAGAGTTCTTTAGAACAGAGAAGGTGAGGGGTGTGGGACGGTGTACTTGTTGAGCCTCTGGCTCTTGATTTTGGCTCAGGTCATGACCTCAGGGTGGTGAGATTGAGCGCTGCATCAGGTTTGCTCAGCACAGTCTGCTTGGGGCTCTCTCCCTCTGCCCATACCCCTGCTCACACATGCTCTCTCGCTCTCTCAAGTAAATACATAAGTCTTTAAAATAAATAAATGAAATAAATATTTTTTTAAAAAGTGGGTTAATCCGGGGGCGCCTGGGTGGCTCAGTGGGTTAAAGCCTCTGCCTTCGGCTCAGGTCATGATCTCAGGGTCCTGGGATCGAGCCCCACATCGAGCTCTCTGCTTGGCAGGGAGCCTGCTTCCCTTCCTCTCTCTCTGCCTGCCTCTCTGCCTACTTGTGATCTCTGTCTGTCAAATAAATAAATAAAATCTTAAAAAAAAAAAGTGGGTTAATCCTTTTACTCTTTTTTTTTTCCCCAAAGATTTCATTTATTTATTTGATAGAGAGAGACAGGGAGAGGGAACACAAGCAGGGGGAGTGGGAGAGGGAGAAGCAGCGTTCCCACTGAGCAGGGAGCCCGACGCGGGGCTTGATCCCAGGACCCTGGGATCATGACCTGAGCTGAAGGCAGACGCTTAATGACTGAGCCATGCAGCGGCCCTGAAATAAATCTTTAAAAAACGAAGAACAGAAAAGGTGATAATGAAAGGCGGTTGCTGATAACCCGGACTATATTAAAATTTAAAATTTCCGTTTATCAAAAGGCACTGTGAAGAGAGTGACAACCAAACTGAGGGGAAGATACTGCTCGCACAGACGTCAGTAAATAACCCTTACCCAGAATGCATGTGTCTATAAATCGATAAGGGAAAGACGCATAAAAGTGGCAAAACACCAGGAAGACCTTCACAGGAAAAGAAACACCGTGGCCAACACCAAAGGAAACGTGAATTAAAGCTGTAGCGTGGCACCCACCCCCCAGCCTCCCCAGGGCAAGGTGACACTGACCGCCGGTGGGGACGCACAGCGCACAGGCCCCTGAGTGTGTCCACAAGTCTGAGCAAGTGTGCGACCGCTGGTAAGACCGCTGGACAAACACGCCCACCGAAACCAAGGACACAAGGTTTCCAAAGGAAATGTTCTGGAATGTTCACAGCGTCAGTATTTGTGATAGCTACCAAGTGGAAACCACCCAGATTTCCACCCACAGATAAATGATGCAGGGATGGGAACATCCCCACATGGGACCGCTCGGCGGGAAGCTGACCAGTGCAGCCCCTGGGGTGCCCAACTCCAACGCACGTTGAGGCTCAAAGGAGGCTGCCAGCGGGAGGATGGTTTCCGCCCCACTCCTGGCGCAGAGCTCTTAAAATCCTTGGAAATTCCCAAGTGATAAGAATCCTGGACCCTCTTTTGTGTGGGTGTTTTTTAAACCATTTCTGTCATCTATCATCTATCATCTATCTTTATTGGCATACAGTGTACTATTTCCATCTTTTGTTCTAATGAGGTGACTCTGGGAGGCTCTTGGCTGGGGATGGTCCTCAGAAAGACCAGCCATGATTAGAGGCTTGGAATTTTCAGCCACAGCCCCTCTTCCAGACAGGGGAGAGGTGGAAATGGAGGTAAGGATACCCCCTGCGTAGGTGAGGGACCCTCCCTGAAGTCTCAGCTAGCTCGGAGCGCCTCTGGGTTGGGGACCCTGTGGAGGTGCAGGGACGGTGGGTAAGGAAGCTCTGTGCCAGGGCGCCTGGGTGGCTCAGTGGGTTAAAGCCTCTGCCTTCAGCTCAGGTCATGATCCCAGGGTCCTGGGATCGAGCCCCGCATCAGGATCCCTGCTCAGCGGGGAACCTGCTTCCTCCTCTCTCTCTCTGCCTGCCTCTCTGCCTACTTGTGATCTCTGTCTGTCAAATAAATAAATAAAATCTTAAAAAAAAAAAAAAAGGAAGCTCTGTGCCCTTCCCACACGCCTCGCCCTCTCCCTCTCCTCTCTCCAGCTGCTCATCTGTACCCTTTGTACCTCCTTTTGGGGTAAACTGGCAGACCTAAGGGCTTCCCCGCCCTCTGTGAGCCACTCCAGGAAGTTCGTTGCATCCCAGGGTGAGAGGTCGTGAGACCTCTGGTTTGTAGCCAAGTTGGACAGAGTTTCCGGCAGCCCAGGACCTGCTTGTGACGGGCACCCTGTGCGGCTGAGCCCTCACCTGTGTCTCCGGGTAGACGGTGTCAGACTCGAGCGAAACCGTGGGACCCGCAGCTGGGGTCACAGATGCAGAAGTGAAGCGTTTGGTGTCGGGAGTACAGGACACTTACAGAACAACATAAGAAGAAAACAAGCCTTTCTTTTCCCACAGACATAGGAGGGAATTTAGGACGCAATTCCACTTGTGCAAGTTCACTACGGCCAGGCCGGCTTGCGCAAGGCGACCAGGTGGCAGACACCAGCAGGCGGGTCCTTTCCGGGTGCGGTCTGCAGCCGCCACACGCCACACTCCCCTTCTGGGCCCTTCCTGTGTGTGTGACATGCGGACCCGTTTACCAGGACTCAGAGCACCCCAGCCTCTCTCACGCTGGTGGAGCTGCTCCCTCCATCATCACCCTCACAGCCTCGGCCCTTGCCGTCTCCCACCCACTGGGGCACCCAAAGACCGTTTGGTCCAAGGCCCTCTTCTCAGAGGGTCTCCAGCCCCTCCAGGGCACCCCTTCTCTCCGCAGTACTTCCTTCTTGCTGGATGTTGCGGTCAGAAACGATTGGACTGACCCTGTTGTTCAGATGTTTACTGTCTGGCTCCCCTCTTCATGTCCCCTCGCCTGGACGCCACAAGTGTGGGTGTCACAGAGAAGGGGTGGGGATGGTATGCGGATTGGCCTGGAGAACGGCCAAGAGGAGCGGCTTTGGGACCCAACTCTGCCACTTGCCAGCTGTGTGGTTTTGCGCAAGTCACTCACCCTCTCTGTGCCCCACCAAGCTCAGCTGTGAAAAAAGAGTCCTCCTTGTGCCCCCTCCCGGGACGGACAGGTTTTAGGAAAAGTGCTCACGAGGGCCTGGAACAGGAGGGGTCATTCTGGAGACCCGTCTCTGAGGCCCTGTCACGCCTGCCGGCCTACTCTTGGTGACTGGCTCAGCTGGGGGCTGGGGAGCTCTAGGCCCCCTTTCTTGGAGGGTCAGACTCCACCTCCCTCTTGGGACCATCTATAGGAGCCGAGGTCAAGAGAGTTGCTGGGGGGAGTAACCCACCTTCCACCCTGAGCCCTCCCAACACTCTGTGGAGGCCCCAGGCCCGTACTCCTTGGGGTTCCTGCCACCAAGAGCCCTCAGTGATCCCACTTGTCCCTTCAGCCCACTGGCAGGCTCAGCAGTGCTGTGGGGGAAGGGGCCAGTGAGCCTCTTGAGGCCAGAGGAGAAAGGTGGAGACCTTGCTCCCCTACTCCACCCCCAGTCAGCAGCCCCCCGCCACAGGAACATTCTGGAGTGCTGAGTCCCCACTTACCACTCTGCAACGCTCTCTAATCCACACAGGTGACAGGGCAAAGCCCTGAGGCCCAGAAGGGCCTCGGCTGGTGGAGGGATGGGAGATGGAGCTGCTGGCACGGGGCCTGAGATTTTACAGCAGGCGGGGCCACTTCAAGAGGAAAGGTCATCCTGGGCCAAGAGATGAAGTGCAGAGTGGCCTTCAGCTTGGGCAAAGGAGGCCCGTGCAGTACTGGTTGCCGGGCAGCATTCTCTGGCCCCCGTCTGACCCTACCAGGAAGGCATCCCTCACAGAGCTGGAGGCTCCTCAAATGCCATCTATTTGTGTCCTGGACCCTGACAGCGGACAGGAGACATGTGACCACAGGGATGGAGTATTTTTGGCAGTGGGGGTGGGGCCTGCGTTGTGAGCCCAGCACCATGCTGCTCTGGGACAGGCAGCTCGGACGCCCAGCTCCACTGCCCAGTCTGGCCACGGGGTCCCAGGTATGACACTATTAGTCCCTCATTCCCACCCTAAGAAGTCCTAAAGTCAGAGAGAGGGATTTCCCCAGGACCAGTGAGGAGGGCAGATTTCAGGGGTCAGGAAGGCACAGTGCTCTGGTCGCAAGGCGACTGCATGTCAGCACTGGCCTGGCCAGAGTGACCTCCCGGCTCCCTGGGGGTGGTGATAGCGGACCGAAGGCCAAAGAGCACTTCCCATTGGAGGCTGAGACACAGGGGGGCTCTCAAGCAGTTAGGGTCACCTCTGTTCACCGAGATGAGGCAGGAGGAAGCTCTGCCAGCTGGGCAAGTCTGGGTGAGGGGCAGAGACCTGGAGGACCGCCCTTGTGGTCCACTGGGAGTTAGGAAGCTCATTTCTGTTCTGTGACCTCCTGCCTAGGCAGGGGGCAGAGCCAGGCACTCCCTGATGACCCCTGAGTGGGGTCTAGCCAGCACTAGTGTGACCTCGGTGATCTCAGTGGAAGCCCAGAAGCCTGTCCCAACCAAGGCTGGTGGAAGGTCATTGCCAAAGGCTGGTCACCTGCTGGGCACTGCGGCCCCTCCTCCATGGCCAGCTGCCACCTGAGGCGTGCTGGGACTGACCCGGGCTGATCCTCCCCCAGGTGAGCTGACTCCCAGTGAGTGATCCTTGAAATGGGCTCTGCTGTGTCCAGTCAGCCATGGTACCTGCAGGTCTGGAGGGGGACTGGAGAGGGTAGAGCTGACCCAGTGGAGCAGAAAACGCTCCCAGATGTGAAGAAAGCCACTTCCGGGGACAAAAATTCAAACGTGAGGAATGCTATTAGTGCGCTTGGCTAATCTGAGCCGTGTTTGATTCTGGGAACGTAGCACCGGCGCATCACAAGGTTATCATTTGGGTTGGCTGGGAAATCAGGAGAGTGGGAGTTACAGGTTTTCTAACTTGGAGGAGGGGCCGGTTCTGACAGCCGCTCAGCTCCCTCAGGCTTCTCCTTTGGTTTTCTTTCAGGAAGCAGATGGGGTGCTGGCCCCCGAGCCAAGGAGGCGGGGGGCGGCGCAGCGAGCGTCCGGCGGCCGGTGCCCGGGACCTGGGCCCACGAGGACCCCGGCCGGCTTCCAGCTCTGCCACCCGGCGCCTCTGCTGACCCGAAATGGAAAACTTCCAGTACAGCATCCAGCTGAGTGACCAGGACTGGGCTGAGTTTTCGGCCACGACGGAAGAGTGTGGTCTCCTGCAGGCCGGCCTGGCCTCAGGGGATGAGCTCTTGTCCAGTGACATTGACCAAGGGGACAGCAGTGGCAGCAGCCCTCCGGGGCCTCCACCCCTTCTCGAGGGGCGGCCGGCTTCTGGGGGGAGGGGCTGGCCCGGCTTCAAGGAGGAGGACGTGGCAGCTCCCCGGCCGCTGGTCAGCAGGTCTTGGCATGAGCCTGTCTTGGCCCCGGGGCCCAATCAGCAGACGCCCAGCACGTCCGCACGGTCAGAAGCTCTGCTGTCCCTCGGATCTGATGCCACCCCCCAAGGCCAGAGCTTGTCGCTTCGAGGGCCAGTGTCTTCCCGAGGCGAGATGCAGAGGCTTCTGCAGGGGCCTGCCCCTCAGGGCCCTGACGCTAGTCCCCCTGGTGAGCCTTCCCAGAACTCTGAGCCTCCTGGCTGCACCCCGGCTCCCCAGAGGCCCCCTGGTAGCCCCGGAGCCCCGGCACGCAGCCCTAGCCGAAAGAAGAGGCGCGCCGCTGGGGCCAAGGGGGGCGGGTACCTGAGCACCCCCAGCTCGGCTCCCCCCCAGCAGGGTTCCCCGCTGCCTGCTGAGGTCAGGCCCAAGGAGTGCCTTGGCCTGGCTGTGTCTGGGGGGCAGGGTCTCCTGGCTGGGGCAGCGGAGCAGACCGCAGGAACTGGGCAGGGAGAACGGGGTCTGGAGTCTGCAGGAGCCCCTGCACAGGTGACCCTGCAAGGAACAGATCCGGATCTGCCGACACCTGTCCCTGCGACTGAGGAAGGTACAGACCTCCTGAGAATGGCCCCGGGAGCTGAGCTACACACCACGTCCACACCTGCCTGGGCCACTCGTCCAGATATGTCAATGGCTGAGTCAGATGTGCCTCTGTCTACACCTGCCTCCAAGCTTCAGCCTGACATGCCTCTGTCTACACTTGCCTCCAAGTCTAGACTGGGCATGGACCTGCCTGTGCTGGACCCAGTGGTCAAGCAGGAGGTGGATTCATCCACACCTGCTCCGCCGCCTCACCTTGTGTCCAAGGCCCAGCCTGACGTGGGCGTGTCAGCAGCTGTTCCCGCTTCCCAGGCCGAGCCTGACGTGGTGAAGGTGGAGGTTGGCCTAGTGGCCACGCCACGACTGAGCCCTCTTCCGTCTCCAGGAGGACACCGGGAGAAGCCCAGAGAGGAGCCCTTAGCAGGTGCCCCTGGACATCACTCAGGGGAGCCCCCACCAGGCCGGGTCCAAGCCCCCAGGAAGAAGAAAGTGCGCTTTTCCATGGCTGTGCCTAGCCCTGAGGGGCCAGGCTCAGGAGAGACCTCAGGAACCCCGTCGCCAGCCACAGCCCGGCCCTCATCCCCCAGGACAGCCACGGGGGGCCGAGGGGGGCCTGGAGGCTGGGACGCCATGGCAGTTGGGCCCCGGTCTCCGCAGCCTCGGATCCTCAAACACCTGCCTCCCCCTTCCCCCTCCACTTCGGTGGGGCCCAGGCCCGGGAGCAGCTTTGCAGTGACCCTCCCAGAGGCCTATGAATTCTTCTTCTGTGACACTATCGAGGAGGAGGATGAAGGTGCTGAGGAGGCGGCAGAAGCCGACCAGGCCCTGTGTGAAGCACGGTGGCCAGACGTGTGTGAATTCTTCTTCCAGGACCACGGAGCCCAGAGGCCGGGGCACGGGGGGAGCCACCTTGTGGCCCAGCCCCCACGAGCTGAGGCTGTACGGGCCACTCCACCTGGAGACCCTGTGCCCATCTCCATCCCCGAGGCCTATGAACACTTCCTTGGGGAGGAGTCCCCGGGAGGCACGCCTGAGCTGGCCGCCCTGCTCCAGGTGCAGGCCACAGAGCCCCCCAGCTTGGTGCCCTGGGACATGGGGCCTGGCATCCCACCAGAGCCCGGCCCAACCACAGCAGAGCAGCTCAGTCTGGCAGTCAGACAAGCAGGTGCGTGTCGTGTGGGCCCCATGGGCTGTCCAGGCCTGGGAACATACTGTCCAGGGAGTCCAGCCAGGAGGGCCACTGGGGAGGGGCAGGCTAGGACCCCGAGTCATGAGCCGGCAGGGGGTGCTTGGGGATGATCTGGGAAGGTCGGACTAGCTCCTGGCCGTCGCAGGACGTCGTCCGGGTGGGGCAGACTAGGCCAGACATGGCAGCTGCTCAGGGATCTGTGTCTGCGCGGACCATCACTCTGTATCTGGGCCCCGACGACGGCAATGCCCTGCCCCCAGCCTCTAGCACGGCGGATGCTGGGATGGCACAGGCCTTGCCGCCTGGTTAGGCTGTCAATAGACTTCATGTCACACTCCCCTCGGAAGATACGTCACAAACCAGAAGTGGATCCCCAGAGGCAACCCGCTCAGGCCAGCTTGACTCAACTATGCCACACGCCGCTCTGTGTCTTGGGACGGAGGTGTCTGAGGGGGCAGCCCGAACACAGAGCGTGCTTCTCTCTCCTAGGGAGGCTCCGAGATCCTCTCACCTCTTTGACCCTCAGCCAGAAGGACATGTGCCTGGTGTTTGTGGCCTTTGCCACCTGGGCTGTGAGAACATCAGACCTGCACACCCCAGATGCCTGGAAAACAGGTTTGGGGGCCCTGGGGGAGGAGCGGGCTGGTGCCCGGGAGGACCAGTGCCGTCCAGTCTCACTTGCTGGGCCGGCGGGGTGAGGGGTGCTTGGCAAAGCCTAGGTTCCTCCCGTGACCTTGCTACTCTCACGGCTGACCCACCCCTCGCCCCCCTGGCCTCCTCTTGCCCTTTGAGGACCAGGCCATGTGGGTAGCAGGTGGTGACCAGGCCGGAATGGAGCCAGCACTCAGGAGGCTCTGTGTTTCCCTCACAGTCTTGCTGGCCAACATCGGCACCGTCTCTGCCATCCACTACTTCCGCCGGCAGGTGAGGAAGGGACGCCGCAGCCCCAGCCCTAGCCGCAGCTGCAGCCCCAGCTCTTAGAACCCAGGCTTGGTCCAGGAAGACACAGGACAGAGAAATGGCCATGGGCACTGAGGACAAGGTGCTGCCCTCAGGTCTTGCCCTTTGACCCCTGTGTTCTACGGCATCTAGGAAGGAGCCAGTGTTCTTGGTCCTGCTCCCTTGGATTCCACCGAAGTTCTAACCACTGGCTAAGGCCAAGGCTATGCTTCACACCTGGGAGGAGGGAGATTCCGGAAGCCTGGGTGGGTAGGTGCTGAGCAAGGAGCTGGTTAGTAAGGTGACCAGATAAGCTCATAAAAACATAGGGTGCCAGTGAAACTTGAATTTCAGACATGCAGTATTTGATGCTTTGCACTGTTATGTGTGGTTTATCTGAAATCCAATTTAACTGGGTGTCCTGTATTTTACTGGGTTATCTAGTCAGTGGGGAGAAGCAGGGTAAGGCATTGGGAACTTGAAGGTGTTGGAGCAGCAGCCCCAGCTGGAAACCTGGGAAGGGGCACGAGTGAGGAGACTAGATGGCCTTCAGGTTGGAGGGGGGTGTCCCAGGGACACTCTGCCCTGTTGACAAGTGGGGTGAGGAAGGGAAGGCCTCTGAGGCCTCTGTGACCCTAAGCCCCAGGCTGCCTTGGCTCCTGCCCGAGACAGCGAGCAGGTCCCTGCAGGGGCGGGTCGGACGGTGGCTCCAGCAGCCCCTACAGGGTGGGGGTCTGTAGGGCAGAAGCTGGAGCCCCTCCACTGCGGAACCTTGGATGAGGTGCAGAGGCACAATACGGTGGCATCGGATAAAGGGATCAGACATTTGGGATTGTCCTAAGGCTTTGAGGCGCTGGAGATGGGGCAGGAAGGTGGGTGGGAGGCTGGTGGTGGCAGAGCCGTGGAGCCCACAGGGCTGGGTGCACAGGGTCCCCAGGATGGGGGACTCCTGACTGCTGAGCGGAAAACGCATGGACACACAGCACAAATAAAACCTTCTCTTTCTTTCTTATTTAGTCTCTTGTCAGTTTCTCCTGACCTGCCCCAGCCCACTGACACTCGCCCAGAATGCCCTCTACCTCTGCTTGTTGTGTCTCGGACTTTGCTGACCTCCTACTGTCACACCCTCTGACCTCACGTGCGCTGACCCTCACTAACCTGACGTTCTCAGCCCTCTGACCTTCCCACCTGCTGCTCCTCCCACTGGCAGGTAAAGCCTGCGCCCAGTGGCCTTCCTCATTGCTTCCCTGGAGGAAGGACTGCTGCTGGGTCCCCTGAGAGGCCTGCTCTGATCTGTGGTCCAGCCACGTCACCAGGCCGTCTTCAGGACGAGGCCCCCCTCCTGGCCCCTCCAGAGCCCAGGGAAGTTTGGGAGCTCTCTTCAGCCTGCTGGGATCAGACACGGACTCAGCACTGGGTGGGGTTCAGGGGTCGGATGCCGGTCAGCCTGTGGCCCTACAAAGAATGCCCCAGGCTGTGCCGTAGTCCCCATGGCAGAGCCCACGCTGGCAGGTGGTCCTGAGAACCAGCCACCCAGAAGCCATCAGATCCACTGGATGAGCCCCCCGCCAGCCTCAGCTACTCCTCGGGGCCACCGCTTGTGGGAGGGAGAGGAAGTGTTGTCCGGGATGTTGCCATAGTTCTTGGGGGGATGACCACCTGCTGGGGAGGACAGAGATGCCAGTGCCTTTAGGAAGCCACACCCAGAGCTCCCCTCAGAGAGAGACAAGGGCCCTCACTCACCTGAGGGAGGTGGCAGGGGGTCGGGCGAGACTTCCCGCATAGGGGAGACCTGGGGATTGCAACCACAAGTCTGAGAGCTGAGCCCTGCGGGAGGGGGCTTGGAGAGCAGCCCACCCATCTGCCAGATCTGAGCCCTCCCTTTTCTGTTAGGTGGTGTAGCTTCCCTTCCTGCCGCCACCCCCTACCCCTGCCGCTTCCTGTCTTTGGTCTCAGCTTGCCCTATCTTCCTGCTTCCATTTCTCCTGCTCCCCCAGGGCCCCAGAGCCCCCACACTGTTTCCACCCCTCCACAGGACCCCTTACCTGGCAGGGGTGAGTGCTGCTACTCACATGCTGAGGGGACTCTGGAGGGAGTGGCCCCTGGCCCTTGATGGAGCCTTGGTGCCGCTGAGAGGCTCTGGGCTGCAGGGCTCCCTTCTTGGAGAGCAAGTGGGGACCGGAGAGTCCAGAGCTGGGGCCCGAGACAGGCACAGACACAGGGACCGAGGGGAACGGGCTCGAGGACTCGGGTCCAAGTGAGCTCTGCGCTGCGCTGAGAAACTGCCAGGGAAGGGGCGGGGACCTGAGGCCCTGGACCAGGACCTCCGTGGAGGGATCCCGGCCCTCTGAGCCCCTTGGCCCCTTGGACATGGCCTGAGCAGACCTCAGGCTGTGGATACATCTAGCCTTTCTGTCATCCACAGGGAACTGACCTCATCCAGGCCCTGGACATCCGTGATCTTGTGATAGGAGGTAGCAGGTGGTGTGTAGGGATCGGCATAGAGTGGGGAGTGTGGGGTCTTCAGAGAGTGGTCTGGGGCCTCAGGGTTGTCTTCTAGGCTCTGCCTGCTCAGCTGCAGGCAAGAAGATACAGGTTTCTTGGAGCTGGAGGTGGCCTGAGCTCTCCCTTCTCTGTGCAAGGCCTCTAGGTGGCTCCAGGACCATCTAGGCCTAAGAGATGGAGGCCAGGGAGGTGGAGGGTGGGAGGGAGAACTGGGTCAGTGTGCTGGGCCCACCTTGGTCAGGTCCAAGTACAGCGAGGTGGCCAGGCTGGGCTCCTCGCTCCGGGCCTCACTCCTGGGTGACCGACTGCTGCTGCTCCGTCTCAGCTCGGCCCTCTGCCTGCGGGTGCTGGTGCGGCCAGGGTCGGCCTGGTCCTGCAGGAACCAAAGACCTTCCAGAAGGTTCCCAAGGGCCCTCACCCACTCAGTCCTCTGAGGCTGCACAAAGTTCCCTCCAGGTCCTGCCTGGGGTGGAGTGCCATGGGGACCCATGTTCTCCCACACAAACTGTCCTCACGGCCTCCTGTGCTTGTCTTCTGCTTATCCCTCCTCACCTCCTGATACTCACAGGCACAGGCTGGGCAGGGCAGCCTGTGGTGGACGGCACTGACGACTCAGGGAGAGAGTGGCTGGTGTGGGCGGAGGGGGGCGCAGGGCACCCTGAGTCCCAGCTGGTTCGTCCGTCTGAGGAGAGGGAGCCTCGGCCGCCACCCATGACCTGGCCAGCAGGAGGCAGGGAGTGGGGAGGTGAGACAGACAGCAGGACCCTCTCCCTAACCACCCACGCCCTAGACCTACGCTTCAGCCCAGAACGTGAGACGTGGGGGCAGCATCTCCTCCTGTGGACCCCTCACCTGTGTGGCCCCCCACAGCCCCGGGAGGCCAGCCGGCGGGGGGCCTCCAGCCCGGGGCGAGATGGTCTGCAGACAGAGCAGCCAGTGGCTGTAGTCCTCGTAGCTGGCACACAGCACACGAATGGTGTTGATGAGCGGGCCTGACACACAGACTCCGTGAGGGGTGCTGGCCAGCAGAGAGCCAGGCCCCTGCAAGGCCCCGGCGAGGAGCTGGGGCACCCAGCGGGCTCCTGCCCTCCCTCCCGGGCCAGGCCTCTGCCCACCTTCAATCAGGAAAGAACGGATCTGCTTCTCCTTCTCCTCCAGGTTGATGCGGATGGTGCGGAGGGGCAGCTCCCCCTGGGGGGCAGTGACGGAAGATGGGGCCAGAGCCTGGGGGTGAACTCTGGGCCCCTGCCTGGGCCCATACTTCTGTCTCACCCTGCAGAGCTGGCCTGGCCCTCACATGGTTAGGCAGAGGGCAGGACAGGGCTGAGCCGCATCCCTGAGGGAGGTCTGCACTCCCTGACTGGCGTGAGGGATCTCTGTGCCCCTGGACTCTGGGTGAGGCTTCACTGGCCAGTGGCAGGCACAGACAGATGCCTCTGGGGACTGGTTCCCTGGGTCACCTACTAAGACTGGGGGTAGGTTGTGGGGGATCATGGGGAAGATCCCTGCATTTTCCTCAGCGACTGAGGGCCATGATCACACCCAGAGCGGAAGCTAACTGTGGTGCACACAACAGACGCACCCCAGCCCCAGAGCACCGTCCTATACACGCATGCACACACGCGCCCCCAGACCCTAGGAAAGTGGCCTCTCAGAGGTATAGGCCCCCTCAGGCACACTGGGGCCTGGCACAAGAGTGTCTCCCTGGAGTGGTTCTGCCCCATGCCACCGGCCCCAGGCGATGGTCCTGCTGCTGGTGGCCAACATTCCAGGGTGATAAGGGGTGCTTGGGCAGGGACGCCTTCTTGGCCACACCACCGCTGAGACCAGACTGACCAGGGCAGCAGGCCGGGTGGGTGGGGCCAGCACACTCTGTCCCAACAGGCCCCGAAATACAGGTTCCTCCTGAGCTGCTGCCCTGTCCCACCCCCACACACAGGGTGTCTCCCGGGGCGCGTCCTCATTCGGGAGGGACCCACCTTAAAGCAAAGCCCATCTGCTTCTTCGGAGAAGATAGCCAGGGATGTCGGGTACAGGACCAGGAGCCGGTCCCATTGCTCCTGTGAGGAGGTCAGAGGGCAGAGTGTGGGCGGGACCTGTATGTGCCAGGCCCTGGCCCCACTTGTCTCCTGAACCCCTCCCTCATCTCCTCCCCCCACCCTCTCTCCTCACCCCTCCCCATCTGTGCGCCCTCCCCCATCTCTTCTCACTCACCCTGTGGCTCCATGTCCTCAGCCCTGTGTCCCTATGATCTCACCCCACTCCCATCTCGCCCCTCCATCTCCTCTCACCCCTCGGCCCCCACCTCCTCCCACCCCTGAGCACCGCCCCCCACCACATACCTGCGAGGGCAGATGCTGCAGCTTGACCCTCGAGGCGCAGACGGCGCTGCCCACCGTCCGATGTCCAGATGCTGCCCGGAGCCGGATCAGCCTGCGCTGCAGAGTCCAGGGCAGCTCACCCTCGGGGGGGCCCTGGTGAAGGGGGGTCAGGGGCAGCAGAGGGCGTGGGCACAGAGGGGAGAGGAAAGCGGCCTGGGGGTCCCCAGCACTGACCTGCAGGGGCGCTGAGTGGCAGAGCTGTGGCCCTCGCACGAGGGCTATCTGCTTTTCCAGGTGGTACAGCCAGTGACCCAGCTCAGCCTGGCTGGGGCACAGCACATGAAGAGGAGCAGGCAGCGGGCCTGGGGGTAGAGGTGGGGCGTGGGCTGGGCCAGCAGCCCATAGGAAAGGCCTGATCCAAGGGTTCCCTGGGCACCACAGGACCTGGGACAGGAGGAGCCTGTGGCACCATCCCAGACCACTGGCCTCCAACAGGCTCTGGAGGTCCCCTGCCCACTGTCCTGCACCCCAGCTTGGCAAACGCTTATGTGCCCACTGGAGGAAAAGCCAGGATCTCCCCATGGGCTCAGGGTCCCTCCAGGTTCGGAAGCTCAGCCAGAGCTCAAGATCACTGAGCAGCCCCAGCTAGAGGCCCCTCCTGGGGGCCAGGTCCACTCATGCCCCCCACACACCTGTGATCTGGAAGGCGTGCTCTTTGGACCCCTCAAGCGGGCAGATGCTCAGTTCCATCAGCGGTAACAGCCCCTGCCAGAGCACATGGAGGGACGGGAGGGCTCGGGGACCCCTAGTGGACATGGATACCCACCTCCCAAGAGGCTGCTCTCTCCCTCTACCCCTGGCCTCCCCCATTTGCCTATTTCCCCTCACCTGGAAGGTGAGTCCTTTGGAACCATGGGCCTGGAAGTAGAGGTAGGAGGGGAATAGCTCCAGATAGCAGTCGCTGATGTCCTAGGGGAGAGCAGGGCTGCTGGTCTGAGGGGCTGGGAGACAGGCCCCAGGCTGGTACCCGAGCACCCCCCACTCGGCCCGGCCTGGCCCCACCTGGCTGTGTTGGAATCGTAGCTGGACCTTGGCGTAGTACACAACCTTGCCCAGATCCCTCACGGGCACCCTCTGCCGCCCCTTCTTGAACACACTCAGGAACGGCTGCTCTAGGTTTTCTGGCTGGATCTCCAGGCCCCGGAGGTCCTGTGGGGAGCAGAGCTCAGGGGAGGGGGCCTGACCTGGGGCCAGCTGCCCCACCCATGCCCACGCCCGTGGGTACATGATACCAAGGCAAGGAACACACACACACCACCACTCATAGGTACAGAAGCCCGACGCACGCTCACGGCCTCTTAGTATGGAACTAGGGGCAACAAACACGCGTGACATCACGTGGTCTGGTGGAGAGACCGTGAGGTCTGAGCTCCGTGGACATTCCACCCCGATTTCTGGTATTTCCTAACCTGTGCACCTTCGTCTTGATTACGCAGCCTCCCCAGACCGGCCGTGTCTGAGGGAGCCGATGTGCAAACCCCCTCTGGGCCTCCAGGGTCAGCTCCAAGTGTTTACTACCTGGCTCCGGGGAGGGGTTCTGCGTAAACAGTCCCACCACGGCCACTGCAAGCTAGCAGCATGTCAGTTAACAAGCAGCTGGGAAGAGAGGCGCCCCACCAGCCCTTGCGCGTGTGTGCTGACCGCGTCCGCCCACCGCAGCGGGACTGTGACTTCAGCCACAGAGAAGGCAGAGGTCCCGGCACTGGCCCACAGGGTCCTCTTTGATCTGCCTCCTCCCTTTGTCCTCTTCTCCTACATCAGGCACAGGCTGACACCAATACTTGCTATTCCCCCACCCATTAGGACTTGGCTCAGATGTACCCTTCTCCGTGAGGTCCCGTCTGGTAACCTCACACTGTAGCCTTCCCTGTCTCCTCTGCACACCTTTCTTCCTCTACTCTTCTCAACACCAGCCGCATCTGGGCTTACCATGTCTTTCACCTGTCTTATCTTCTGGTTCCGTCATGTGGGTGGGAACACCAAGAGAAGAGGGTCTTTGTCTGTTTTGCCCACTGCTGTATCCCTAGAAGTAGGCCAGGCCCGAGATGTGCTGGGGGTTCCCCGCTAGTCTGCTGAGGGGAGGGAGTGTCGGGGCACAAACACTTGGCCAGTCCTGCCACACAGAGAACTCTCTCTAACTGGGGGCTCCATTATACTATTGGAAGTCAGACAGGGATGGGCACTGACCGGACACCCTGGCTAGAAGGTCTGAGGTCTAGGGGCTCAGGGGTGAGTTGGGGAGGGGCCATGCTCTATTTGGGAGCTGGCAGAGGCTGCCCTGAGGGCTTTTGAACCCTGGCCAAGCTAAGCTGCCCCTTGGGCAAGCCCAGGAATGTGAGGCCTCCTTCCCTCTGGGTGGGGCCTCCTGTATCCACACCCAGTGTGGGGAACAACGCAGGGATGGGACCCATGAAAAATAGGCCACGAACAGGAAGGACCATGCAGCCTTCCCTGTGGCCCAGGCTCAGCCTTAGGGGCTAGGGAGGAGTCAGCTCAGAGCCTTGGCGGGGTGCAGAAGCCCTTACGGGGGAGGGCCTAAGAGATGGCTCCTCCCCCAGCCCCAGCTCCCAGGTTCAACAGGCCTGCTCCCCTCTCCTGCTACTATGCTCTGGCAAGAGAGGACCACCAGGGCCACCACATCTCACGTGATTCCACCAGGCACATCTGACGTGTCCTGGGCTTGGACAGAGTCGAGGTGTGCGATGCAGTCACGCGGAGGAGCTCTATCGCGGCCCGGCCAGACCCTGGACAGAAGCGCCCGTCCACCTCTCTGAGGCAGCATGGTTTCTCAAGCCCGCACTTGCCTGCATGGGGCCCTAGGACCTCAGAGGGCAAGAAAGGGGACAAGCCTGGGCTTCCTAGCTTGATGGGGACAAGCTGGAAAGGTGGGCTCTGGAAGCACGCACCCGTTGCTGGGCTCAAAAGAACACTGTGAGGAGAAGAGTGCAGGGTTGGAGCTCTGGCCCAGAGTGACAAACGTTCCTCCTTCCCTGGCCTGGGGTTAGATTTTGGGTATCATTTCCCTCGCATTCAGGGGCTTTTGCACATAGCAGAGCCTCCTACCATACCCGATGCTATCCAGGTTACAGTAAAGGGCTGGGTGTCTCTCCCCTCTCAGCTAACCCTTAGCTCCCCAGGAGCTGGGCAGGGTGAGAGGGGGCAATATTCATGGCCTAGCATGCGGGAGCCGTGTCCTTGCTGTGTGGCCTTGGTAGGGGGTATCACGGTGGGCTGCTATGGAATGAGGCAGGGGTGGGTGCCGAGACACCCCTTGGGAGAAACTGAAGCCTGAAACAGGTGAGAGGCTGGCTCAGTGGGCACCTGGAGCCCCTCACTCTCGCGGAGTGACGGCAGCCGCACTGACACAACCCCATGCCACACAGCAACACAGACATGCCGGTCCACCTCGAATGTGCCTGGACGCGCTGTCTGGCACCGAAGTTGTGGGGGGTAGCGGGTAGACACCCCAGGTAAGGCTCTGGGTGGAGAGCCTGGTCACGGCGCCCCCTCCGGTGGAGCAGAGACTCCGGAGGCCCCGCCTGCGGCCCGCCCCACTGACTCAGTGTCTCGGTTTCGCTCTCTGCTCAGGCTTTCCGCCAGGTGAGCTCCCCAGGGCGGGGCGGGGTCTCCTTCCTCACTTGATTCTGGATCTGACTCCCCCCAGGCTGACAGGGAAGACCCTGGGCCCCGGGACGCTAGGACAGGTACACACAGTCCCACAGAGACCACCACCACGGCACCCTGTGAGCCGGGACACGCCCACCCGCCTGCTCACCGGCCCAGGGATGTAGTAGAAGATCTTGTCAGCGGTGGCGTCCGGGTCAGCACCTGCCTCGGTGCCAAACAGGCCGGCCAGCTTCCTTGCGCCATCCTCTCTGGGGACAAGGGAAGGGGGGCTCACAGCCTGGCCCCCGGGGCAGCCTGAGGGAGCCCCCTGTGATCTGGGGACCAAGGCTGTGCTCCACACCCCTCACCTATTTCCCTTCAGCGAGGGCTTTCTGGAGAATGAGGCCCGGAGCCTCCTAGGGGCCTGAGGGACGCAGTGGTTGTTCCCCATGGGTGGCGGTGCTGGCGGGACCGAGTGGAGCAGGTCGACCGGGTCCCTCCGTACAGAGCCTCCTGTCCCGCCTCCCAGGCGGAGCTCTGGGAAGTCTTGCCCCTCGCCTAAGGGCCGGATGAGGGTGGAGCCTTTCTGGGAGGGACCGAGCCCTGACCTAGGCCCGAGGCTTTCAGTTCTCTGACCCGGGTCCTCCCCACCGGCAGGCCAGGCTGGAGTTGGGGGGCTGGTGGGGAGAAGTCTTCTCCCCTGGTCCCGCCGGGAGCACCCATCTCAGCCTCCAGTCTGGATGCGAGGAGCTTCGGAAGCCTGGTTTGTGCGTACTCGGTCTGCCCACACTCAGGCTAGGGTTGCCTGGGGTTGGGGCTCTGTGAGCCCAGGGCTCCCTCTCCCCAGTACCACCCCTCCCCATGGAGAGCACACATCCCGTCTCCACCTAAAGGCCACATTCTGAGTCACCACTGACTGTGAGGGGGTGTGTGATTGTTCTCAGCTGCTGAAATAGGAGTTTGTGACTTTGGGCAAGGGGAAACCATGACCCTCCCCCAACCTCTCCCACTCCAGCCCAAACCTCACCCCAGGCCCAAGTCCAAGAAGGGGGCCACAAACCTCCTGGGTGCACCGAGGCCCATCACGGTGCGGTGAGGTAGGGTTAGTACCGTGCATGCCTCTCTCCCCAGAGCCTGGGATGAGATGGGACCATGAGGGTCTCTCAGGGCCAGGCTGACCGGGAGCCACACTCCTAGCTGGATGCCCATGCACGATATCACATCCCTGACCCACCTGGGCGTGATGATGTTGCCTTGAAGGACCCAGATACCAAAGCAGAGCCTCAGCCCAGCTGCACACCTGTCCCCAGGCCCTCCTGGTCACCCCAGATAAGACCCCAAAGGGTGGAGATGTACACTCAGCCTGAAGCCCACAGAGCCCGAGAAACATGTTTATTGTTCAAGTTGGCTCATATTGCTGTGTGGGGTCTGGGGCACACTGTGCTCAGCTCAGTGCAGGATCCCGAAGACACACCATGCCCATGGGAAGGAAGCTTGCATCATGTCCTTCTTGGGAGTGTGCCTGGCTAGGCAAGGTAGGGGAGGCGTGCAAACCCCAGGCTGGAAGGGTCTGCACCTGCTCAGAAACCGCCCCCCACCCCTGCAACCCTGGCCTGCTGCTCTGCACCTGCCCCCGCAGTCCCTCCAGGTCTAGAGTCTGAGCTCACCTCTGACCCATCCACAATCCAAGTGTCCACCCCCATTGCTCATTGGTGCCCCCAGTGGGGCAGGACACCTGGGAAGGCAGCTTGGTCCCAGAGACACAGGACACGTCAAGGGGAAACGCGTGAACTAGTAGGTGCTGCGCGGTTCACTGACCGATAAATAATAAATAAATAAACAAACTAGGAAGTAAGTAAACGGCGCACACGCACACGCACACACACACTGAGCAGCGAACACAGAAGTGGCCGGCCTCGACGCAGAGACAAGGACAGACAGGGCAGGACTTTCCTGGTGGGGGCCGAGCACCCCGCCCCCGACACGCGAGGTGCTGGGGCCGCCCTGTGGGGCTTAAGGCATGTGGGAGGCCGCGGGGCCGGGCCTCTGGGCAGTCCGCGCCGCTGGTCAGAGGCTGGTGGACGACACGGACAGCGTGGGCGAGGAGGGCGGCGGGAAGTTGAGCAGCTCGAGCACTGCCACGCCCACACTGCTGCGCCTTGTGAACATGCAGGACGCGGCCACCCACTTGTTGGTCCTCGGGTTGTACTTCTCGATGGAGTTGAGGCTGGAGCTGCCATCGTTGCCCCCCACGGCATACAGCCAGCCGTCCATGGCCACCAGGTCGTGCGTGCTCCTGGGGGTGGGGTGGGGGCGGGGAGGTGAGCCGCTGGGCGAGAACTGCTCTCAGAGCCTCCCGGGAGCCGGGGGAGGAGCCCCCGGGGGCGGGGCCGGGGCGCTGGGCGGGTCGCAGGGAGCTGGGCGGGACGCACGGGGCAGGGCGGAGACCGGGGAGCTGGGCGGGGCCCTGGCGCTGGGCGGGACCGGGAGCTGGGCGGGACGTATACAGGGATAGGAGGCGTGGACACATCACACTGGCAGGAGGCCTCAAGGCACACCTGGGAATCTCCGGCGGGCAGTGGGACTTGTGGGGGAGGGGCCAGCGCACCTTCGGATGTTCATGGGGGCCACGCTCTCCCAGGCACCGGCCTTAGGGCTGTATCTCTCCACAGAGTTGAGGCAGCTGGTGCCGTCGTTGCCTCCGGCCACGTAGAGGGCCCCCTCCAGCACCGCCACCCCTGCTGAGCTTCGTCGGCTCAACATGGAGGCCACGGGGGTCCATG